TAACCCCAGTAAGAATGGCCATCATTAATAAAACAAACAACAACAGATGCTGGAGAGGATGCAGAGAAAAGGGAAGGCTTCTCCACTGTTGGTGGGAATGCAAACTAGTGCAACCTCTCTGGAAGACAGTGTGGAGATTTCTAATAGAACTAGAAATTGACCTTCCATATGATCCAGCAATTCCCCTATTGGGAATATACCTGGAGGAACTCGGATCACTCTACAAAAAAGATACCTGCACACGTATGTTTGTGCAGCTCTATTCACAATATCAAAAACATGGAACCAACCATGTTGCGCATTGAAGCTGGACTGGATTAAAAAAATGTGGTACATATACACAATGGAATATTATGCAGCCATAAAGAAGGGCAAACATATGGACTTTGCAGTAACTTGGATGGATTTAGTCTATCATACTCAGTGATCTCTCACAGAAACAAAAAACAGAGCACCATATGTCCTCACTCATAAGCAGACCTTGAACAATTATAATACTATAAGAAAGCAGTCAGCAGCAGAAACTGTCAGCGGGGTGGTGGGGTGGGACTGGCAATTGAGGGAAACTGCTAGGAGAGGGAGGGGCATACCTCCTCAACAAGGGTACCTGCATAATCAATGTCTGTATACCTAACCCCGAATTGTACCCCACATCTTTATAATAATAAAAAAAGAAAAACTAAAAACAAGCAAACAAACAAAAAGCAGGAGGTATCACACTTCCAGACTCTAAACTTTATTATAAGGCTACAATAATCAAAAACCTGGTATTGGTAAAAGAACAGGCATATAGACCAATGGAACAGGTTAGATATTCTAAAAACAAAACCTCAATTTCTCAACAAACTCATGTTCGATAAAACCTCCACCAACAACCACTAGGGAGAGGAGAACCTATTCAGTAAATGGTTCTGGGAAAACTGACTGACCAAATGCAGAAGACTGGAACTTACCTATCATCATACACAAAAATTAATTCTAAATGGATCAAAGACTTAAATATAAAACCTCAAACTATAAGAATCTTAGAAAACGCAGGAGACACCCTAACAGACATTGAAATAGGCAACCAATTCCTGAACAAAACCCCAAAAGCACATGCTATAAGAGATAGGACAATTGGGACCTCATTAAACTGAAAAGCTTCTGCAAAGTAAAAGAAACTATAAAGAGAGCAAGGAAGACAGCCCACAAAATGGGGAAAAAATATATGTCAACTGTATATCTGACAAAGGTCTAACGTCTAGGATCTACAGAAACTCAAATGTTCTAAAAGGAAAAAAACAAACAGTCTGACTAAAAAAGTGGGCAAATGTATGAATAGACACTTCTCAAAAGAAGGCATACAAGCAGCCAACAGATACATGAAAAAATGCTCAGCCTCATTAATCATCAAAGAAATGCAAATCAAAACTACATTGAGATACCACCTAACTCCAATCAGGATGGCCATCATTAATAATTTAAATAACAAATGATGCTGGAGAGGATGTGGCGAAAAGGGCATAATTCTACACTGGTAGTAGGACTGAAAATTAGTAAAATCTCTTTGGAAAAGAGTTTGGCAATTTCTAAATGATCTAAAAATTGATCTTCCATATGACCCAGCAATCCCCCTTCTGGGAATACACACCGAGGAACTCAAATTATTCTACAAGACGATTCCTATGCATGCATATTCATTGCAGCACTATTCACAATAGCAAAAACATGAAACCAACCATGCTGCTCACTGAAAGTGAACTAGTTAAGAACTCAGGGTATATATACATGATAGATTATTATATAGCCATAAAGAGGGACAAAATTATGGACTTTGCAGCAACTTGGATGGATTTAGAATCTATCATACTCAGTGATCATCACAGAAACAAAGAAATGAGTGTTCTCACTCGTAAGTGGATCCTGAACATTTATCATAATACTATATGGAAGGAATTGGCAGTAACAGGACACTGACAGGGGAAGGGGGGTGGGGGGAGCACATATCATCAATAATGGTACTTGATCTCAAACCAGGTGAGTGAGGATCAATGTGAGGCACAAACTTCACCTGTATGATGGCCACTTATCCTGAATCATACCCTACATCCTAAAAAAACAAAAAACAAAAAGAACTGCAGGCTGGAATTTGTGGGGGGAAAGTGCTAAAAAGAAAAAAAAAAAAGATGTATATGTGTATGTTGGAAAGGGAGCAGGGAGAAGGATTTACCTTGGAGAAGTGCTAGGTGTTACACAGGCAGGACAAAATTCGCAAAACCTAGCAGAAATCATTTGCTGTAGTGGTAAGAACTGAAAACTGATTTTAAAGTTCATGCAGCAGTGAAAGATATTGGAGTTGCAGTCCAGCCAGCATGACACCTAATTGAGCATCTCAAAGATTCACCTAAACTCCAGAAAGACTGCATTAGACATGAAAACTATTCTTGAGGGGTAGAAGGATGCACTGAGTTGGGGTTGGCAGTTGAGGGAAACTGCTAGGGGAGGGAGGGGCATACCTCATCAACAAGTGTACCTGCATAATCAATGTTTGTATACCTAACTCTGAATTGTACCTCACATCTTTATAATAAAAAATAATAATTAAAAAAAGAAAGAAAACTAAAATGATGTCCTAAAAGAAAATGAAATTTGACCTATCAAAAACAAAATTATCCGTCAGTAATTTAACTGCTTCTCAGAATAAAATTTAACAATTGGGCAACCCCTTTAGGGCCCCTCCCACTGTGGGAGCTTTTCGGTCCTCTCAATAAATCTTGCATTCAAAAAAACAACTGATGCTGGAGAGGATGTGGCGAAAAGGGAATACGTCCACACTGGTGGTAGGACTGAAAATTAGTAAAATCTCTTTGGAAAAGAGTTTGGCAATTTCTAAATGATCTAAAAATTGATCTTCCATATGACCTAGCAATTCCCCTTCGGAGAATACACACCAAGGAACTCAAATCATTCTTTAAATAAAGACAACAACATCTAGACTATAAAGCGTACTATCTGTAATGTTAAATACATAGCTAAAATTTACAAGACACAAAGAAATTGGAAAATATGAATATTAAGAGAAAAGTAGTTAATTGAAACACATCCCCCCCAAAAATAAGGGCAAAGCAATTCTTTGACAAATACAGCAACATAATTCAATGATGAAAACAGTTTATTCAACAAGTATTGCTGGAACAACTAGGTATCTACATTAAAAATGAACTCAACCCCTACTTCACACCATACCTAATAATTAACTTGAGATGGATCACAGGTCTAATAATAATAGCAAAAAGTACAAAGCTTCCAGAAGAAAGCATAGGAAGTTACCTTTTCAATCTGGAGGGGAAAAACATTTATTATTTTTAAAAGGACACATAGAGAAATAACTATATAAGTCACACTTCATTAAAATTAAAAGTATCTGCTTATCTAAATATACCATTCAGAAAATTAATAGGTAAAATAGAGGCCGAGAAAAAAAGCTACAAAACATATACCAAAGAATTACACCCAGAATATATGAAAAAAACTCTATAAATCAATTAAGAAAAAGGAAAATAATCATTTTTTTAAATGGTGAAACCCTTGAATAGACACAACCAAAGAAAGTACAGACAGGCAGTAGTGGGAATCTGCTTGGGGAGAGGGGGACATACCTCATCAGCAAGGGTACCTGCATAATGAACATTTGTATAACTAATCCTGAATTGTACCCCACATCTTTAAAATAATAATTTTTTTAAAAGAAAGTACAGGCATCATCAATAAACACTTATAAAGTAGTTTAACGTCTTTCTTCATCAGGGCAATGCAAAATAAAACCACAGTAAGATAACTCAGTAAGATACTAAACAATTTCCGACATACAGCAATTGAAAACTATCATACATTCCTGGTGGAAGTGAAAAATGTCACAACTACTTTGGGAAATAGTTTTGTCAGTTTATTTTAAAGTTAAGCATATCTACTCTATTATCTAGCAATTACCCTCTGACGTAAACTTTTACCCAAGAGAATTGAAAATTTAAGTCCACAAAAAGATTTGTATAAGTATTTCCATAGGAAATTTCCATTCATAAGCCCCAAACTGAAAACAATCAAATTATTGTTCAACATGGGAGTGGATAAACGAATTGTGATATATTCATACAATAAATTACACATCAGGAAAAAAACTACTAGTCTAAATAAAATGTGAGAATGTTATATGAACATTAAACAACGAAAGGTGGTTGCTTCTAGGAGTGGAATAACTGGGAGCAGGAATTTTGAGGGGAAGGAGGAATTAGTCCATTAAATTCATAATTATTTAATAAACTTTTAATGGGTGACTACTCTATGTCTGCAAGGAAACTATAAGTTAGACAAGTTTGTTCACTCATCTTCATTAGTCTATTCATTTCATAGGTAAATGGTACATGACTTTTAAATTAAAATGTTATTGTTACTTTGCCTCACCTTCAGATAGACATGGAAGTAGTAATATTTTTTAAGCGGAAAGAAAGTTTTAATTAAGCTATTTTAGCATGCTTTATTTTACGAATGTATTATTAGTAAATATCATTAACCCATGTATTTAAAACAACTCCTTACCATATTTGACACAGAAACTCAAAATTCTATTTTTTTAAATATATATAGGTATTTGCATTATTCTAAACTTACCAGAAAGACAATTGTTGCTGACATCTAGTTTTTCCAAAGAAACAAAATGAAAAAGTGGTACAATTTTTGTCAAACTGAAAATAAAAACATATAATTCATAAAAACTTTTAATCATATTGTTCTTAATGTTACTGTAACTACAAAACAATACATTCACATAATACAATTATATAATTGTAGTTGACTTGTACGCAATTATATGGAGAATTATAATTGTACAAAAAAATTATAACATTTAATAACAGTGCTTATAAAAATGCAATTATATGACTTTAAGTATTTATAATGGAAGATTCCTATTCATCTTTTAAAAAATTGCCAATTTCAATCACAAGTATCATGAACTTTGATGAGTATTTGCTATTTAAATAAAAATAAGTTTCTTAATTCTTATGATTTTGTTTTGTCTTTGTATTTAGCCAAATTTACAGATAACTTATCAACTTTTTTCTCCCTGATTGAAACACAGTAGCCTAAACCCTTAAAATACAAACATAAAATTTCACTTACTTTCACTTTTCAACAGGAGAACTGATTAGAGTCATTCGTTTTATTTTTAAATTTAAAAAATATTTGTTTACTAGATTGACAGTATTATAAGTACTGTAAGTATCCAAAATTAGCGTGGGCTTAATTTTAAGTTTGAAATATGCACAATATATTTAAAATTATCTCATAAAACATAACAATATAAAATAAAGTACCTCAATAGAATTGACTTAAATTTGGCAAAAATATGCTGACACTTAAAATTAATATCCATTAATTAGGCATATTAAATCTAACAATAATCAACATTCCTCTTTTAAAAGTTTTTATCATTTCTAAGTTTTAACTGTCATTAAGAACCTATGTTTAAGCAAAAACATAAGCAATATTCAAAATATACACATAATTGCAAACAAAAGCTATGAAGAAAAAATTAACTCTAGGTTGATTTGTATTTCCAACTAAGTCTATACTTACTCTGTAACATAATATCACATTACTGCAGTTATTTGGAAATTAAAATTAAGTCAGCTCTTCTGAATATTTAAATAAGACAAAAATTTATTTGCATAAAATATAGAAATCACAATTAGAAAAGTCTTCTGAATTAATCTGTCTATAAACATTGAAATTCCATAACTGTTCAAAATGTGCTTTTGCTAAATGAGTATCTCTGTTACTTTTTTAAAAGATATGCATTAATTTCCACTGCTTTAGCTTTCTTGCTTTTTTATTTATTTATTTATTTGTTTGTTTGTTTGTTTGTTTGTTTGTTTATTTATTTTTGAGTTGGAGTCTCACTCTGCTGCCTAGACTGGAGTGCAGTGGCTGCTCCCGGCCACCACAACCTCGACCTGCTGGGCTCCGGCTATCCTTCCGCCTCAGCCTTCCGAGTAGCCGGAATTACGGGCATGCGCTACCACGCCCGGATGATTTTTTGATTTATTGTAGAGATGGGGTCTCACTGCTCAGACGGGTCTCGAACCCACGGGCTCAGGCAATCCACTCACCTCAGCCTCCCAAAGGCGTGGGATTACATGCTGAGCCACCGAGCCCGGGTGCTTTCTTGCTTTTTTAATACTCTCCCTCCAGTTGTCCTACCAGAATTTTGTACCTCTTTATTTCTACTGCAATAGAAATAACTCCCTGCAATAGATGGGGGGTATTAATCTAATATTCTTTTTTAAATTTTATTTTTATCTCTCTTAAAGATGTGGCATACAATTCAGGATTAGTTAGATAAGAGGTCATCACACAGGTTAAGTTTGGGCCTCCCTTCAGAGTGACACTGACTGGAAGCCTTATGGACACTGTGAGCCTTATGAGGTCTGGCACAAGTCTAATCCTGGTACTCACTGTAACTCCTCTTTTCTTTTCTTTTTTTTTTTTTTTTTGAGTTGGAGTCTCACTCTGTCGCCCAGACTGGAGTGCAGCGGCCGCTCCCGGTCACCACAGCCTTGACCTGCTGGGCTCCCGCGATCCTTCCACCTCAGCCTTCCGAGTAGCCGGAAGTACAGGCATGTGCTACCACGCCCAGTTGATTTTTTGATTTATTGTAGAGATGAGGTCTCGCTGCCCAGGCGGGTCTCGAACCCGCAGGCTCAGGCAATCCACTCACCTCAGCCTCCCAAAGGCGCGGGATTACAGGCTGAGCCACCGAGCCCGGCAACTCCTCTTTTCTACTGTCCTGTTCTGCATTAGCAGAGAGAAAGAAGAAAAACTGCTGATGAAATATCAAACTAAATAATGAGGTAGGGAGAAGATGCCTTGAAATACTGCCCATTAAGAACAATATTCCTATTCATATTAAATCTATATAATATCTTTTCTTAGAAAGTCTCCAGGGTGAAAAATATCCAAGGTAATGAGAGGAAATGTAAGATATGTATGTCATTACATTTATACATAAATTGTATTATTTGTACATACAGTCTATAATAGTAAAAGTGGGAATGTCACATGGATATTGAGGAAGAGAAAAGAAGGAAGAAAGGAAGGAAAAGAAAGGGGAAGAAGGGAAGAGAGGGAAGAGGGGAATGGGAGGGGGAGGGGAGGAAAGGGAAGAAATAGGAAGGGGGAGAGAGAGAGGAACTTAAAACTTTGTACATAATTGGTGGGTTTAATCTTAATTTTATGGCATTTCCTACTCAAATATGTTCTAAATAATTGTTGCAAGTAATAAATTTAAATTGTTCAATTAAAAATACATTTTAATAAATGTATTTATTAACAGAAAAATTACTTTTGTACTATACATTTAGTATATTTATACCAAATTTTTGCCCTTATATTGAAAAATTTTGAAAGATTAACAGCTAATGATATATTAAATCCTTCAGAATATAGTTTTCTTTAGAATATCACGTTTTTAGCCAATAAGTTATACAGTAGCATATGTGTTATATGAAGACTTCAAATGAAAATAACTAATAAAGTTTTATAATTAAAAATCAATATAAATCTCCTTTGCAAAAATCAATTCAAGTAAAGAAATATCTGCTTTGACCAAATATTTCTGTAGTATTGACATTTATCTTTTCAGATAACTGCACAGTTTAAACATGCTCTTTTTCTTTGGAATTTTAATCAAGAAAGCTGACTACTCATTCAACTTTATGACTATTCATTAGGATGGTAGAAACCTAATAGTAGATTTTTTATTAAACCTCTAGAACTTTTCCTTTCACTGACATTCTCTGTATAATTTTTCCAAGAAAATTCAAACCAGAAAGACAAAGGACATTAGTGAAAACCTAATACCATTTGACCTTGTCACATTAGCCCTGGGCATTAAAAAGATATAAATTTCAAAGACGACAAAAGTAAAAGATTTGTACTATGAACAGCCAATGGGTAATAGTTTCCACTTTCTGCTCCTACTTAGAGTCTCACTGGTAAGAAGGCTTATAAAGTCAGAGAATCTTCCAGTTAGAACTCCGCTGAGTCAAACTTAAAACAGTCACATGTCCTAATGAAAATTTAAAACAGAAGTCAGGATGAAAGAAGTATTTCAAACAATATGTACTAAGTATCATTCTTTATATGTATTCCATTTGTTGGGGGGGGAAAGCATATGGACACATAATTTCTTCCTTGTGATGAAAATATTTATCAAAATATTAAAAGAAAATATATATACAATGTAAAAGTCATACCAACCACAAATTCAAATATCACATTTATAAAATTCGTATTCCTTTGTAAAATATATTTATATACATTTTTCTCTTGGATCATCATTCAAATACCCTTTTAAATTTTGTAAAAACTGAGGCTGAGTGAGAAGAGAGTTGCTCAGCATTGACTGATAAATTGTAGGCTCAATATGCTGAGATCTGCTGACTCTGAGTTTTCTCAAACCCAGTATGATTCTGAGTCGATGCACATGTGAGAACATAATGTAAAATGAATAATTTGCAGTTAATGATAGCAAGTTTATTGTAAGATAGCCTTCCTAAGCTCAAAGATTACTTTTACACTATGATTATTAGGAAATTATCTTACTATTCTATAAATCCATTTCTATCAATCACATTTCCCTGGCATCCTTAGGGCTTCTCCCTTCATCCTATCAAAAATATTCAAAGGTTGCATGTAAAAAGAGCTCTCAGAGACCCAGAAGAAAAAGTTGTATGCAAGTGATAGTATTATCAAAAATTTCAAAGTAACATATATTATGTAATAATTGTATTTTTTTTTACAAAAATGAGTTTAAAAGATTAATTTATTGTACCCCAAAATGTTCTTTGAGTAAGTACATATGTTACTGATTGCTGCACCCTCAAAATAGCAAACCCATCATATTCAAATGTCTTAAGACTAGGCAAACAAAATTTGAAATAGGGATCATTTGGATTAATCATGTCAATTAGCATTATCAATTCTAAAAATATCAATGCTCTAATTTATATTATTCCCATTTTATAAAATCAATATGTATAAGTCATATCATATTGATAGAGGAAAAAGTCTATCAGTCATTATTAATTTTAATTTTGAGAAATACCATATTTATTTGATAATTTAAGGGGTACAAAATATTAGACATTATTTTTCAAAAGCTGTTCTTGATTTACATATTTAAAAATCATCTTAAATATTTTATGCTCATTAATGTGATTTGAGATCCACCTCTATAAAATGTTAGATACATCAATTCCTGAGTGGTTTATGCTCAAAACATATCTGAGTATTTAACTTTGAAACTACATTTCTTACCTGAAAATAATCTGAAAATGTCTAATAGGCTGGTAGATGGCACAAATAATACAGTGGTATTTGATGATGCTCTTTCTGGGAACAAATATCTTTTTAAACCCAAATCAACTTTCATATTTTAGATCTGATTAAAACAATTTGAGAGGATTTTTTAACACAAATTTAGTTTTCAACCGTCAAAGTATAATAGGTGGAAGTTAAAACATTTAATGCATACATGCTATTGCAGCAGAGATTAAGAGATGATTTTATATGTTTTGGGGGAAAAAGGTATATATATTTATATATAAATTAGGTTGTCCTTGTTCATGTGTTTTGTGAGCACTGTATGACTCAAAGGAGCAATTTCTTATTAAAGGTGGTTCCTTTCCCCTACTCCATGTGCCTTTGATGAGGAAATTAATCATATTAGAGTGAATAGGTCTCAATGAAATATTAAGCAGAGAAGAAATACACATATTGTGATTCTGTTTTGCTTTAGACAGACATTTTCAGCAAAGATCCAGATGTTTGGTGTTCTCAAATGATCTTCTGAGGTAGGTACCCATTTCAATTTAATGTTAAGGTATTTTTTTAAGTGTTACTTTATATCCTTAGGGAAATCAAATTTAAATTCATCTTAACAGTTACAGAAGGACATGCAAGTTGAGAGCAGATTAAAAATTATTCTTTCAGGACTTAATAAGTACCATTTGAGAGAATGAGACATCCTTCTGAAATAAATTAACTACCTCTTGCATTTTCCAAGGACTATATTCTTTACAAATATAAACAAATCTGCCCTGAGAGATTTCTACAGGTACATCTTTGAGAAGAAACAAAATGAGGATGATAAATAGACAATTAAAATTCTACTAAAATTCTGGGGCATGCTATTAATTCCCTTTAATTTTTTAAATTCTATAAAGTTATATGTATATAATTTATGTACTAATTTTGTATGCACTATCATTGAATTACTGGAGAAATCCAACTTTTCTAGTTGTTTATGAACATCACAATTTCATTTTAAACAGTCACTGCATTTATTGCTTAAGAAAAGTATGTGTTTACCTATTTTGAGAGAGAGAAAGATTTTGTAATAAAGGCAGCCAATATGAAGAAAATGCTTCCACAGTTGAAATGCTGTTATCGTCCAGGTGTAATTCTCTTAGTAGAACATGATTCTTCAAGGATGGAAGCTGTGTTTAAATTTGGTTTATTAGTTGATAATAAGCAAAACATTTTGTCATTTAACCAAATTAAAAAATATCAAAACTAACAACAGACAGATTCTGGTAAACTGAATATCATAAATCAAAATATAATACAATATTTTAGTATGAATAAAATTCCTATTAACTTTATAATTTTTAATATTCTTTATAAAAGATACTTCATGAAGAAATGTAATTAGAATTTCATGATAGAAGGCAACCACTTCAAGTCCCCTCCCTTTCCAATAAATCCTGTTTTCTAAAAAAAAAAAGAATTTCATAATAGATACATTTGGTCGCACTTATATACTGAGATATAACTAAAAAGTTATAATTTAGTATATTTTTATTATGAAAAATTGATGTTAAATTAAATTTATTTATAAAATATTGTAACTGTGCTGAACATTTCTTAAATAAATAAAAAGGATAAAATTTAAAATTAAATTGGCAATCAAAAACAATTGATTAGTAAAAAAGGACAAAGAAAAATTATTCACAATTTCCTCTTAAACGTGTGATTGATACATCTATCAAATAAAAATGTTGTACTAATCAAAGAAACTAACTAATTCAAAGCAGTTACCTCACTTAGATAATTTCCTTGTAATTTCAATATTTGGAGCAAACCACAATTTTCAATGCCCTCAACATCCGTCAGATGATTATGCGAGCAATCCAGATATATAAGGGCAGGAGTATCACAAAGACCTTTTGTACTAATTAGCTGATTATGGTTCACAATTAGTTGCTGAAGATTTTTTAAGGATTCTAACCCACCTGAAAGAAAAATTTTATAAGATCACTTGAATCATACATTATTCCAGACTCCAAAGAAGAATTTCAATTTTTCTCTAAAAAACTGTATCTTTGTATTTCCCAACATCTTTAACTAAAAGTGAGGACTCAGTCCAAATTCCCGATAAACTTATCTTGTAAAATATGTTGTTATTTATATTGTTATCTGTGGGATATATTTTTGAGAGACATAATTATCTATCAATTGAAAATGGAATAAAATACTAGCATACATTGGGCAGTGAAAGTTTTATATTCAAATAAATATGGAACAAGGGAGAGACAGAAAGACTTCAAACAAACAAACAAAAAATAGTTTTCATCTCACTCCAGAGTCTTTGAATTTCAAACCCTTGCTTAAGGATGCATCCGTAACATGAGAATGCCATTTTCCTACAACTGGAATATCTATCTTAGATTCCCAAATGAGACAGATACAAGCAAATCAGAACCAATGACCTATTAGCATATTCTTCAGGTATATCAGTAATGTTACAAGTCATCTACTTTTTGATCAGGAAAACTTAAAATCCATATGATATTAGCTAAAAAATATTACAGGAGGCTTAGAAACTATACTTTGGTGATTATAAAGAAAAAACTGTGGTTATTTAAATAAGCCATGGGGAGTTGGTATTAGAAATAAATGCTGAAGAAGTCTGCAAAAGCTTCATGGGAGATACTAAAAATCTAGAAAGTGATCTTTAGATATGGTACTTGGTATGTTTTCTGAGCGTACTACTCTGGTAGTTGAAATAAGCAATTCTAGAAACTGAAAATAAAGTTTCAGTTCTCAAGTAAGCACTGATAAATAGAATGTCTTCAGTAAGGACGGTACACATAGGACCCATTGAGAAGAAATTTGGGCAATTGTACCTTTTTCTGATTGTCTTGTCAAAAATACCACAAAACATTTTTCTCATCAAATGTTGAAATAAATATGAAGATTTATTTCCTTTACCAAAATAAGTTATTTGATAATAAATTGAAATAGTTAATCATTAAAAATAAGTAGTATTACTTAGAAAACTTGATATATAAAATATATGTAACAAATTTATCCCAGAGGAATTTAGTGCATTTAATGCAAGATTTGTTATTTAGATTATGTATTGATTTACCAAAAGATAGAGCAGATAGTCTGCTTGTATTGAGATGAAGAAATAAAAGAATAAAGTAATATCAAGATCTCACAAAAAATTTCATTCTGTATCATACTTTAGAAGGTCATATAATGTAATAGGATCATGCAGGTGTTGTAAAAATATTTCAAATATACATGTCAAAAATATTTTTTCAAAATTGCAATATCTTTAATAGTTTGAGTCAAGTAAAACAGCTTATTGTTATAGATGATTATTTCCCATAAAAATATGACTTTGTGTAAAAAAGTAAAAATTTCTTATAATGAGAAATAAATTATGTAATATCACAGAGAAGTAGGACAATGAATAGGAACTCAAAAAGGAAAAGAAGGCCTGAAATTCAAATTCAGGCAGTAATTTAAATTTTTAATTTTGTATCTAAAATTATTGTACCACTATCTTCCTGTAATGTAAAATGGAAATTATGACTTAGAGAAAGTTGTTATCCACTGTTATTAGCAAGTGAATTGTTCTGCCCTTTGAAACATTTGAGTTAAAATAAGAGACCAATCATATATTACAAATTTCAAGGGATTAGGAGTAGTACATTAAATATTATAGCAATATATACTGGCTACAATATAAAGTCTCCTGAAATAGAAAATAAATTGGAGTTTATTATGTTTTATGATTATATCTGATGAACATCAATTACCCCGCTGAAGCGGACAGCCCAGGCAAAAGGAAATACCAATTAATACAGATTAGTATGTATATAAAATGAAATTTCTGATCAAATATTTAATTGTCTTAAGGAATCTACTTTTATAGGCTTGATTTTTATAAATGTACATTGCCTTTAATTTTACTAGAGCTAATCTGAAAGAGAAATTTCAATGAAACCTTTGAAGTGGGGAATGCATTTGTGAAACTTACAGGGGTCACCCAAAAAGAGAATCAAGAATGAATCATTAGGTTACACAATGAAGAAGGTACAGAATTTGGCAAAGGAAATAGTAGATAAAGCAAGATAACTATTGGGAGAGGAAAAGAGAAACAAGCAAACAATTATGCAATGAAGAATGGGGCAGGAATAAAAATAAAATATTACATAATTTACAATTAAGAAAGGCACTTTTATGTACACTAAATTATATACAGTCAACTGTATCAGGCACCGTTGGCAAAGGAATGAGAAGATGGTACCATTTAGGCTGAAGACTTTTGCTAGAGATATGAACAGAGTAATCAGGATGAAAATCACAGTAAGTGGAAGTAGAGAAAATAAGTGTAGACTACTTTCTAGATGTTTTTAAGTGGAGAGAATGTTCTCCAAAGTCTTGAAAATGGCCTTCAAAACCCTATGTAATCTACTTGTCATCATCTCTTCACACTCATCCTCTGCTACTGTGCCCTACCCTCCATTCATTCAAACATGTCCTTCTTGTTGTTCTTTAAACATGCCACACATGCTTCCACCTTAGGTCTGTATATGTTAGGAGCAACTATCGGTATGTGACCTGTTAGGCTAGAATTAAATAAAGGTCATCAACTAACATCATAGTTTCAAAAGACACCATCATTTCCAATCAATATACACAGAAGGTATTATTAGCCTATTCCATCTGTTAAAGATTCTAATCTGGTGGAATAACCATGACTGAAGCTTCAGACTAATGAGGATTATTAAACCCAGCATTTCTACTTCTATGAGCCACTATATAGTGATACACAAATAGAAACTAAAATATAGAGATGTTCTTTGCTGTATTATTTAGGTGCAAAGGAATAGATACAAGTTAAATGTTCGCCAATAAAATAATAGTCAAATAAATTAAAAACCATATCTAAAATGAATATGCATAATCTTCAATATAAAGCAGTACTGAAATGGAACATTACTGTAGGTAAAACCTGAATTGCATAATAGGGTTTTAGCTATTTGAGTACATCAAAATCTAAATCTACACATGAATCTTAACCTAAATCTACACATCTATAATTGTATTGCATAGATTGAGGTCTGGAACGCTTCATAAACAATTGTTAACAATGGTCACTCACACAAAATGAGAGAGAGAGAGAGAGAGAGTAGGGGTGAGGAGACAGATGAAGTTTCACTGCTTACACTATATGTATCTCTTTTTAATTTTTTAAAATGAGACTGTACTTCTTGCATAATATTGCAAACACTATCTTTGAAAAAACTCAGAGCAAGCACTAAAATAACTTATTCTGCATTTAATACTGAATATAACATCAATTTTAAAAAATGATCATTGAACTATTCAAATGTGGGAAAACAGGATACTGTACTCCATCAAAAGGGTGTGTTCTATTGCCAACATGGAAGAATACTGCCCATAGAAAAAAAGGCATAACTTTTAAATTTTTAGATGAAAGATTGTTAAAATTTCAGCAGAATGCTTTTTTAAAAAATGATTCAGTCTGGTCTCTCAAACACTGACCTTACTATAGCAGTGAGGAAGAAGGTACATTTGAGAAAAGCAAATGTTGATTATATAACATAAATATCAGCCTAAAGAAAAAAAGAAAAGGAAATCATCTAAAATATATGTGACACTGAGGTCTGCCAAAAGCCATGTGAGTGAGCTTGGAAGTAGATATTTTGTTCCCTCTGAGCTACAAACTGCAACCTCACAAGAGACCCTGAGCCAGAACCACCTAGTTAAGCCATTCCCAGATTTCTGACACACAGAAATGTAATGTAACAAATGTTTGTTGTTTTAAACTGCTAAGTTTTGGAATATTTGCTTCTCAATAAACTTTTAGTACAATAAGAATTATATTCTGAAGAAAACATAACTCAAGAAAGAATAAATTATGTTTAAAATGTTTGGGCTACGGAAGAATTTTTTTTAATTATTATAGCAAGAGTTCAAGGATATCAAAACAAGAGAAGTAGGTAAATAAATGGGAAAAAAATAATAGGATGACATAGCTAATAATTTATAAGCAACAATATGCCGAACAAAAAGCAAAAAATTGAACTTTTCACACACACAAAAAGATAATTACAATGAGAATCAAATGTGAAGAAGCAGAAGGAAAAAGAAAGGATACAGATGAAGCCAATTAAACAATAGACTTGAGAGAAAGACAAATACAGCCAAAATATAATCTATTACTGAAAAATCGAACAAAACCAAAAAAGTTTTCAACTATATAAAAACCAAAATTTTCCAAAAATGAAAATTTTTTCCAAAAATGAAAAGTTCAAAAATGAACTTTACTTTCCAAAAAAAACTTTAATGAATGTACTGGAAATAAAATGTTCTCGGTTAAGTTACTAATTAAGTTCAAAATAAATACTATTTGGGTATCTAAGCAGAACTCAGTGATGGGAAGAGAAAAATAGTTAGCTTCAAGGTCTACCGCAGCAATACCCAATACAATATATGCAATGATTGGAAGAACCAAGTGAAACTGTGACCTAAAAATAGAATTTACAGCTATATGATCATTCAGGTATAAAGGCAACTTCCAGGTATTTTCATTTGTACCCCACACCTTTAAAAGAAAAAGTGAAAGAATTCACAGAATATAGCACCCATCAGATCATCTTTGAAAAATGAGATTTAAAAATAGGTAGTGGGCCGAGCTCGGTGGCCCAGCCTGTAATCCCAGCACTTTGGGAGGCCGAGGCGAGTGGATTGCCTGAGCCTGAGGGTTCGAGACCCGCCTAGGCAACTTGGCCAGACCGCATCTCTACAATAAATCAAAAATTAGCCGGGCGTGGTAACGCACGCCTGTAGTTCCAGCTACTTGGAAGGCTGAGGCGGAAGGATCGGAGGAGCCCAGCAGGTCGAGGCTGCGGTGGCCGGAAGTGTGCCACTGCACTGAAGTCTGGGTGACAGAGTGAGACTCCAACTCAAA